TATTTTCCTTGTATTGTATACAATATTGGCATGCATGTAGACCATGGATGGTCAACTCAGAAGAATTATTATTATATTAAACTACTATCCTATTGAACAAAAATCTTGAAAGCTTGTGCTTCATACACTATGCAGTGATAGTTTATTAGATAAAGTCTAATTTATTATTCATTCAATCAATTTATATGTCCACCTCTCTGACCATAAGGAGTCTGGGCAGCTAAGTATAGTTTAAAATACGATAATATAACATAATGCAGAACTGACATGTTATAAAAATATACCAGAAACTGAACAAATTCATGGATTCTAATTGCTTGAGTGAACATTATATATTAAGTCACCTACAAACAATATTTTGGCTTGGTTTGCACATTATATAAAACCATTGGAATTGTTTTTTTGTATTTCTCCTGAACGCATACACTGGAGTGTTGGCTGGCCTTTTGGAGCAGTCAGATAATAATTATAAAGAAGCCAAAACTGCTTCTTACCAAATTCACTGATAGAAAGCTTTATTGGAGCAAGTTATCACATTCAGTCATTCATTATATTTACAATAATTCTTTTCTACTGTGATAGGAGATTTAAATTACTAAAAGTTTCACTCAAGTTATGCATCACTCAGAATGTATGAAGTGATCTTTAGAGCCAAAATTGGTCCTCAATTGGCAGTTTTGTCAATAGTATGTTTTAAAATATATATTCACATATTTCTCAACAATCTTAAGAACAATCATAATTTCTCCTGCCTAGCATTAAGCTGCACAGCACTTCCCAAATGTCTTACCTACTTCCAATCTCAATTCAACCAAATATGTTTCCAAACATTTTGTGTTGCGTGCCTTCTTGCTGACTCCTGGTGACTACTTGGACTAGACCCTGCAGTTTTCTTGGCAAGATTTCGGAACTAGTTTGTTACTGCATTCTTCCTATGGCTGAAAGTGAATGACCTGCCCAGGGTTACCCAGCTGGCTTTGTGCTTAAGGCAGGAGTAGAACCCATGGTGTCCTAGTTTCTACTCAGTGCAAAATTTAGCCAAATAGATTTGCAAGCATATTGAATAATGTGTCAAGATCATTGCAGTTTTTACATTTATTCCTGCTATCTTTACATGCAAGACTAATATGACTTTTTAATCACTAGGCAATCATTCAGCCTTTATATATGTTAAACAAGTCACACAGTCACCTTCTAACCAAGCTTTAGCTATATTTTAATAATAGACAGTGTACAACTTACACTTGTGGCCTAACCATTTTTTAACTGTGTTTGTGACTTTGTCATCCATTTTTCTTCAATACTTACATGTATAGCATTCTTTTCAATTTAATGTTTGACATATCACTATCATTTCCATTTAGATCTCCAAAATAATAATTTAATATTTCCTCATATAAGTATCATTGTAAATGATGACATATCTTGAATTTAATTCATTAAAATGGCGGACCCTTGTTTACACAGTATTTTATTTTCCTCTTTTAATCTTAATCATTTCTTTTTCTCTTTGACTATATTATCTGCAACTATATTTTACTTTTGTGTATATCATACATCATCTTCTAATCATTGTTTTTGTAGCAATTTTTCTATTGCCCACAATTTTTCATCCAAAACCACTTTCAATTCACCAAACACTCTTTTACATATTTTCCATTAGTATTACGCCACTTTTTTTCTGGCAGCCGATAACATAATTCTTTCCACTTTATCCCAAGCAATTTTCACATCATCTATTATGTTCAAATACCAATCATCCTACTGGGAGAATCTGTCCACTACTATTCTTTCAGCTAGAACTCATACTTATTTCTTGTCAAAACTGTTCTTTTTTTTTTACTTGAAATATCTCTCATTTCTCTCATGTTCATTTCACTCAAAACCCACTCCTGGCACTACCAAAAATGCTCAATCCCACATTCAGAACCTTTCATCCCCCTTGTAATCTTCATTTATTCTCTAAGCCTTCTATCATAAATAATCATATATTTGCAATATTTGTTGGCTAGTCTACATCAGATGCTGCCAGAACTTACAATAAAATAAAGTGTGCATATAAAAATGGAAGAAATGCATAAATCCAAATCCTATAATAATCAATTTTTGAAATATTTTTGAAATAATATTCATTCTTTTTATACTCATAAGATACATATATTAAATATATATAGAAATATATTTGCTTTCCATACTAAAAGGAAATTATATTCATTCTCTCTCTCCCTCCCTCCCTCTCTTTCTCTCTCTCTGTGTACAGAGTTTCTGAAGGAATAAATATTATAAACAGATTTATGCCTAAACTAAATCTTCAAAACAGATCTAAGTAGATGCTCATTAAAGCCTCAATTTTCACTTGTTTCTGGATCTCTAAATAGCCCAATAATTTTTCTGCATTTTTTCATCCCATTACCATATTATTCATGTTGCTTGAATATTTTTCCCACCAAATTGTTCATTCAGAATGTTGAAAGTTAATATTTGAGTCTTACATTACCATTTACTAGACTCTTAACAATCTATAGACTCCTATTTTAGTACATACATACATACATACACGGGGGGGGGGGGGGGGGGGGGGGGGGAAGGGGAGAGAGAACAAAGGTTATTGATCTTTTTATTCCTAATTAATTCTACGGTTTCAATTTTCTAGATGTCTTTGTCAAGTAGAACCCACAAAATGATATCTTCTTTAGATCAAAATGATATCTTCTATAGATTCAGATATATGAGATACCAAATTTCTTTCAGTATATTCATTAATTCGGGCTTTTTACCATTTATTCCTATTATATTCCAAGTCACAATCTTTCATATGACATGCCTATCACTAGCTAAGCCTACAGATATTGACTTCTGCAACCAAACAGGTTTTGGTCAATTGAGGCTTTCATAGAGTACTTTTAAGAAGCACTGAAAAGGTATAGATCAGATTACTATCCTTGGCCACAATTGCACCAGATGGACATAATATTCCCTGCTAAAAGTTTGGGTAAGGATAGTTTGGGCACTTTTAAACCACAAATCTAACCAAAGCTGATATTTATTTTCTGCAAACTCACGCTATTCTATAAAAGCTAGGATCCTTAAAGACTATCTTGAAAGTTAACATCCTGTTGTTCACATTTTATAAGTGTATATTTTGTATTAAGAAAACAAAGGTTATTGAATCTTTTTAAAAAGTATGTCATTTGGTAAAATAATGTTTTACTGCTTTAAATATATTAATTGAATAACAATTCACATTAAAAAAAACACATCCTTTTTATGGTAGATGAAGAAATATATGTAGCCAGCAAGGAATTTTACAGCAGCACAATATATCTTAAATTAAAAATCAAATGTAACTTGCCCAGAACTGATACAATAGTTTTCAAAGTGTTAGCCACTATATTCACATGGAGCTTTCTTAAACAATTTTTTACCCAAGATAATAATATATAATATAATAATAATGCTGGCTGTTTGCTGAAGTCTGTATTTATTAGGATGTTATGTATAGTATAAGATGAAGAGTGCAGGAAACACAACAAATAAAACCATACTCATTAATATCAGCTATGAAAACAAGAATATGCTACTACCTTAGTAGGATAAGAGACAAGAGGCATTGTTAACATAAAAGCCAGAGACACAACCTTAAGAGGATAAGTATGAAGAGAGGCTATGTTCTGGAAGTTATCTGCTATCTCATTTTAGTAATATATTCTCATCCCACTATCCAATGGTTTATTTATACTTGCAAACAGAAAAGCAATTATAAAGCATGACAGTGGTGGAGCAAGGGGAAAAGACTTAATCAGTTGATGATAATTATGTCAGTAATTAAATCCAACACTAAATAATATTGGATTACAACCAAGAGCATGGGAAGAGCGTTGCAAAAAGCTAGTTGGGGACGATAGTAAAATATTTAGGAGAGTAATTATAGGCAAGAAATATTAAAAAAAAGAGAGAGATGTAACAGTATAGTAGAGGCAGGCATATTTCCATATGGGGAAAAGGCATAACATAGTCACCGAGCGCTGCAAAAAACACCCAGCTTATTTATAAAGAATCAGGCAGATGATGATGAAAAAGACCTGGGTTTGCCTGAGATCATGAAGACTTGCGACTAGAGTCATAAACAATCAGGACTAGATGCATAAAGCAATGTAGTTTGGGGTTTAAAAAAACCCTCTCTCTGGTTGCTCAATGCAAAGAAGGGTCTTTCCCCAACATGCTACACCCACTTGGGCCCCATTTTATCTGGAGATGGTGAAGCTGCAAATCGAATCGAATTCTTTATTGGCCAAGTGTGATTGGACACACAAGGGATTTGTCTTTGGTGCATATGCTCTCAGTGTACATAAAGAAAAAAATAAAATATATTCGTCAAGAATCGAATGTACCTATGGCTTGACAAAGACTTAAGAGTCATTGCATAAGCTTCAGCGGGCTACCATACCCTTCCCCCCCACCCATACGTGGATGCCAAGCCATTATATACACCGAAGCAAACTCGAAAGGAGGTTTGGGGTCAGAGCCTGATCAGAGCTCCACAGGGCAAACCGGAGGAGAAAGTGACGGCTTGCCCGTCGTTGTCCAGGACCATACCGAGACCATACCGAGGCAGGCTGCGTGGCAGACCGAAAAACCCTCAAGAATGGCTCCGGGGCAGGCAGAAAAACCGACGGCCTCGACCCCAAAAAAGGGAGGAAAGAGACTGGCGAGGAGGAGAAGAGGGGAGGGTGACAGACAGACAGACGGACGGACGGACTGCGGCAACCTTTTCTAACTTGGCGACCTCCAGCCGGGTCCGATTACAGCCTAGGCAGCCTGCCCGACGGAGAGCGATGGGACCTGTAGTTTGGCACATCTGGAGGCCAGCAGGTTGGGGAAAGGCGGCGTCCGAAAGTCACCGGGGTGGGGGTGGGGGGTGAGGTAGGAAGGAAGGAAGGAAGGAAAAGAGGGCGGCGACCGCCCGGCCCAACCTCTGCAAGCGCCCCGACTCAACTCACCCGTCCTTCCGCTTGGCCTTGTAGACGTGCCCGTAGGTCCCCCTCCCCACCTTGCAGCCCTCGTACTCGAAGAGGTCCTCCACGCGTTCCCGCTCCCCGGTCAGCTTCACCTTGAAGTCATAGTCCATCTTCATTCAGCGCCCGGGCTGGCTGCCTCTTCAGACGGCAACCCACCACCCCGAGAAGCCCCCCGCCCGCCACCACCACCGCCGCCGCCGCCGCAGGCACCAGGGAGGAGGAGGAGGAGGTGGAGGAGGCCCCGCCGCCGCCGCGACGCGGACCATCCAGGTACAGTGGGGAGAAGAAGGGGGAAAGCGGCTGCGAGAGCGGGTGAGGCAAGGCGGAGCCCTCTATTCTTCCGCGCCTCCTCCTCGCCTTCCTCTCCTCCTCCTCCTCCTCCCCGCTGCCGGCTCGAGAGCCACACAGGCAAAGCTGCTCTACGCCAGCCGGTATCTCGTTACTCGATATACGGCAATCGCGCCTGACCGCGCTGCTGCAAAAGAAGAGCGTCGCAAAGCGTCGCCTCTCTCTCTCTCTCTTTTCCGAGTCTCCCCTCGTCCTCGAGAGCGCACCACGTGGAATCCAACCGGCTCCGAGGCGGCCCCTCCTCCCCGGGCAGTTTCCCTCCCCGACATGCACCGCGCCATAGCTGCCAGCAAAAGACTTTGGCAGCAGCGCTACGGGAAATCAGCACGGGCCGCATTAAGAAACGTATATTCCAAGCGCCTTGGGAGCCGTCGTTACAACCCATTAACGAGCCGGATGTGAATTTGATGGATGCTGGGAGTTGGAGTTTACCGGCTGCGATCGGAGAAACTTGAGAAGAGGGGAGCCAGGCGCATTCTGGGCGTTGTAGTTCACGTATGTGTTTGGAAAGGAGGAGGTCGAGGGCGGGGGGGGGGGGGGGTTGTGCTCTAGTTTCCACGGAAACCTATTTCTGGAAACTGGTTTTGGGGTCTGAACTGTCATGGACTCGCGGTAAAGATTACATCTTTAAGGTACCTGATATCGAACATTAGCCTAGGAGCTACAGCAATTTTCAGAGCTGGCGTGGCATTAGGGCAGAATTGTGACCTAAATTTTAACCCCAACAAAACATTCCAGCTTTATTTTTTGGAAGGGGGGGAGTGGGTAATAAAGTGCTGATAACTTAAAAGATGCACCAGTTGAAGACTTGACCAAACTTCTCCATCTCCTAAAAAAAACAAGAGGAACTTCTTAACGTCTTTTATAAGCAAAGTATAGGTGATGTTAACAATGGTAATGTAATGGGCCCTGGGAATTCTGTTGACTTACAACAGCAGTTCTAGTTGTAGTTGTAAGCACGATATTACACAACCATATCTTGCAAAGTCCCCATTGATTTTGCTTGTTGAAATCCAGTAAGGCAGGTTGCAAATGGCAAATCACATGACTGCAGGATGCTGTGACCATTGTAATTGCTAGCTGGTTGCCAGGTGCCTGAATTATGACCCTGTGACCACAGAGATACTGCAACAATTGCAATGCTCATAAGACTCCTCATTTGAGAATTATCACCTGTTATGACCTGTCTCCTGCTGTGAAAAACACTACCTAAGCAGAGAGGTTTCTTCCATCATTTTTAATGGACATTTTTGATGGTGAAATCACAGTACTAGTTTGTCTCAAAACTTGGGTGCTATTATTATGCCATAAATTGTTTACTAGAGAGCTCTACCCCTGCAGACTGTCTACAGTACTGTGGTAATTTTTTACAGAGTCTTGCCACAGGCTGTCAATTTTTAAACCTACTTCGAAAGTTATGCCTTAGCTGAAGAGCTTTTGGTGCAGACATGACCAAGCAGTAATGTTAATCACAATTCAGCAAAAACACTGCCGCATGTTTTCATTTCTCTCTCTTCTCCTTGTCTGGTCAGTTTGATAAACATTTCATTGCCACTGTTTATATCAAACTGAGGTAATTTTTGGAAAAAAAAAAATCATTGACTGAGGATTGAAAATCCTAAAACTAACCATGCGAATTGCTGATTCACTAAACTGTATACTTAATCATTCTTTTATGATTCAGTTATATATCTTGACTTTATATAGGCCGTGCATATAAAGCAATTATTGATAAATGGGCAAGCCTATAACAAAAGTAAATTGCAGTGCCAAGCAAAAGATTTCATGGAACAATTACAAGTTTATTTTTGGAAACAAGCTTATAGTGACAAACCACACCGTTCTTTGTTTTAACTATTTTCATCATGCTTAAACAACAAATTTTGGATTAATATCAATATCTTTTTCTGTTAAAGTTTTATAATACAGTCTTTCTAAAATTGGTCTTTCCCGGTTGTACTTGGATTACAGTTTCCAGAATTCCCAGACTTTCCCAGTACTTTCCCAGGTTGGAAAAAAATTGTAGAGTATCTATTATTGAGATCTGCTTTATCATTTATCATTATTGGATTTCTATCCACCCTTTCACTGAGGAGTTTGAGGCAACATAAGACTATGCTTTCTCCAAAAAAAAACAAAAAAAAAAAACCCTGTGGAATAGATTGCTTCAAACACAAGGGCAGTGTTATAAAGAGAATGAAACATCTGTATTTATTTTGGAAGTATGTAAGTTATAAGTAAGACCACATCCAGTTTTGGTCACCATATTATTAAAAAGATGTTGAGACTCTGGATAGAGTGAAGAAAAGAGCAACAAAGATATTAGGGGACTGGAGGCTAAAACATATGACGAACAGTTGCAGAAACTGGGCATGTCTAATCTAGTGAAAAGGAGGACTCAGGGTGACATGATAGCAGTGTTCCAATATTTGATGGGCTGCCACGTAGAAGAAGAGGTCAACCTATTTTCCAAAGCACCAGAAGGCACGACAAGAAATAATGGATGGAAACTAATCAAAGAGAGAAGCAATCTAGAATGAAGGAGAAATGTCCTAACAGTGAGAACAATTAACCATTGGAACGGCTTGCCTTCTGAAGCTGTGGGCGCTCCATTACTGGAGCTTTTAAGAAGAGACTGGACAGCCATCTGTCTGGAATAGTATGGGATCTCCTGCTTGACCAGGAGTTGGACTTCTCTTCCAACTCTGTTACTCTGTTAAATATCTATCTCTGATATAATTAAACTGTTGCAATTTCTACAAAATAAAATATTACTAAGAGACCAAAGTATTTTATTGTATTCATTTTCCCAACATGTTTAGTTATTGCTGTTGTGTTCTTTCAGTTGGAACTCACTGGTTATGATCACACTGTATGTTTAAACCCAATCTTTAGAGAGATTTAGAAAGATTAGTTGCTACCTAATCTTTACTATTTTGATCTAGAATAATTATACTAACTGAATAAAGGACAATCATTTTAAAGAATGTGGTTCCTCTGCTTCCTTTTGTTCTCTTTTTCACTTATATCCCTTGTAGCAGAAAGTACTGTTAAAACTTTAGTATGTAAACAGCCCCTTTCCCACAGCCAGGTTGGAAGCAGAAGGCACGGCTTGAACACAGCAGCTTAATGAAGACCTTGGAAAACACGTTCTGTCATTGCGAGGGACAATTTTGTTAGCCATTTGATGCTTAAATCTCATTTCCAGGCAACTGACTGGCAAGTAAAAAACTATTAATCTAGAATTATGAATCTAAATTAATGGATTTATGGTCATAGTTTCTTATAATTGGATTATTATGAGTAGTACTAAAGTCACTTTAGTAGTGATATGACTAGAGAAAAGTACTTCTAACAATTGATTTAGGATGCTTCAATTTAAAATAATATGAAAGATTATGAATTTGCACAACATGCTGGATCTTGAAATTACCCAGTTATGTATGAGGCATGAATGCAGCATGGTTACTGAAGAATATTATGACAGAAAGCAATTGATAACTTGCTAGGAGAGGAGCATATGAATCTTCAAAATTAGTTGGGTATTGACTAAGGCTAAGTTAGTTTTGGGATCAAGAAAGCTTTACCCCTGAGCATCAGAAAACAATATATCTACTGCTAATATATTATACTTCTATATTCCCCACCTTTGCTGCTTGCTTTTTGGCCTTGTGATGTCTCTCTGGGACAATACAAGTACAAGTAATTCATGTGAGTTCAAATTATGCATTATTAGATTTAGTATGAATTGTAAACTAATGCCTGGTTACATTTAATGCAATCCAAAATTCAGTTAATTCAAGGCTAGTGTGTATGCAGTTGAGGCAAATGCCTGCACAATTGCATTTGAGGGTTCAGACACTGTTAATCATTATGTACAAAATGGAGAAAAAGATTTCATCAGAGGAAACAAGTACAATTTCAAAAAAGAACAGGCTCATTATATTAGAACAAAAATCTGATGTAATTCAATGACATAAACATGATCATGGCATAAAACAATAGCTGTATGAATCTATGGTAAACAGCTAAATTTAAATTAGAAGTATATTCTTTTACCATTTACTGTAATATTTCAGTCAGAGGTGGTATTCAGCAGGTTCTGACCAGTTCTGGATAACCAGTAGCGGAAATTTTGAGTAGTTCGAAGAACCAGCAAATACCACCTCTGACTGGAGATTTTACAGTATCCTTCCCTGCCACCCCCATCAAGCCACGCCCACAGAACCAGTAGTAAAAAATTTTTGAAGCCCACCACTGATTTCAGTATATACAAGAAATTATACTGAAAAATTGTCATTGCCTATTTCCACAAGCTGGAACCAATTGCAGTATTTTCCATAGAAAATATTTCAGTTTTCCACTTTAAATAGGGCAAATTCAAATATGACCACTTTATGGAATTCATTAACTGAACTAATTGGGACCTGCCTGCCCTTTATACAACATATTAAATAAAAAATAGCCAACCACACTATTGCATATGCGAGCCACAACTATTGATTAATTTCTGGCTAGAGTAGGATGCAAATTCAGATAATTGGGTTGTGTTCCTCGCATGTGAGTTAACCATTTAATGAAACTAGCAAGGGTTTATATACAGATCAGAAAATACCAGTTATCCTCAGGAAATTCTGCAAAAACAAATTAGTATGATCTCGGGTACTTTCATGAACAGCCCATGGATCCAATCTTGCTATAGATGAATGAGATCACTTTAAACTTGCTACTCATAGAAGTAGTTTGCCATTGTTTTTTTTCCCTCTCTGCTACTTTTTCCATTTTCCCAGGATGGAAAATACCTGGGATTTCCTGGGTCCCCATCCTATCCGAAGATTAATCAAATCTGACCCCGCTTAGCTAATAATGCTAATGCTAATGCTAATGCTAATGCTGATAATAATAATTAATAATTAATAATAATAATAATCTCTCTCCCACCAGCGCGCCAGCCCATCCCAAGACTTGTCACCACGACTCGGTTTCCAACTCGCGAGAGAGCTGGCAGGAAAAAGGTAGTCGCCGGTCCGAAAAGGCCGTCACTCTTTCCGCTTTCGCGAGCAACTTCCCGTAAACCCTGCCGTTGCTCGGCGCGAGGAAAGGAGCGTTCGCGCGTGCGCATTCGCCCTGGAACCATGAGCTCGGGCGTCAGAACCCGACGGGATTGCTTTGCTGCCGCACCTCAACGACTGGTACGGTAGTTGGTTTGGTCCCTTTTCTGCCGCCCAGTGAAGATTAACGTGGGCTGCGATGGGGTTGTAAGAAAACCAGCCTTCGGCGGGCACCGGGGAGGGGGGGGAAGGGGGAGACAAAATAAGGAATTGCCGTTTTCCTGGCGAAGCTGTGATTTCCGGGCAATTGGCTGTTATACAGGAATTTATCTTTAGACTGCCGGCCTAAAGGGGTCAATTGGATGCTGCTCAACCCTGTTCTTTTCTTCCGTGGATGGCCGGTTGGTCGTGGTGTTCATCGTTCTACCATCCCGCCTCCGCCCCTCCTCTGAGTCTCCAGGCGAGGAGCGCCACCGACCAAGACGGAGAGAAATCCAGACAGGTAAAGAAAAAAGGGAATCCTAAATTGGTGTACTGTAAGATGCCTTTGGGAAAGGATCATTCTGCAAAAGCTTATGCCACAGTGAAGTTGCTGCTAGACTGACTGTAAGCGCCTTTGTGGTAATAGATTCAAAATCTGTTCCTGGTAAAGAAAAAGGAAGAGAACCCCCTAAATTGGTACGTTGTTAAGTTGCGAAGTTGTGTCCCACCCACTGCGACCCCATAGACAATGTTCCTCCAGGCCTTCCCGTCCTCTACCATCTTCTGGAGTCCATTTAAAGTTAAATTTATGCCATTTAAATTAGTCTACTGTAGACCATAAAAGCATTGGAAAAGCATCAGTTTGCAAAAACTTATGCTACAGTGAAGTTGCTGCTTTGTGGTAATAAATTAAAAATCTGTTCCTTGGGAACATCTCTTTCAGTGGAAGAAAAGAGTCACATAATCCTGAAATTGCTAGGACCCTTATATAAGGTATTTATTAGTCTTTTTCCAGAGTTATTAACACTCTTTATTTGCCGTTTCCTGAAACTAGTCCTTGGCAAAGGAATAAGGCACTTTATTTCAACTTGCTCTTAACCCTGTTCAGAGGAAGTTGTGTAGGGCAGGAAAATAGTAGTGGCATGTCAAGTTTAACTAGTTTTGTGGATTAGTTGTGTATTTATTTGCTGGGATAGCATTCCAATCCTTATTATTCCTCCATTTATTCACATAAGAGTGAGGATTGTCAAGATTTAATATTGTTAAATGAATATCTGTAAAAAGGAGCATCAAAAGGATTTCTAAGACTCTGCAGTCTGATATGAGTGGATCTGTACTTGTACTGCTTTATGTCATGACAGGTTCTTATTTTTAAAACTATGACTTGTACAGATATGATATATCTGCTATCATTGTGTTTTTTTAAAGAGGTAGTCATGATAGCATCTTCTAAAAGGTGAATCTATGGACATAATAGAGGAGAGACTGCTTGATGATCCTCTTGATCAATATTTTTTTTGCCTGTATAAATATTCAGCACATGTTTTCATTTTGTCATGAATAGGATTCAATTCCCTGCTCAAACAACTCTGGAAAACTGAAGATGCTCAGTAATCTCAGAGGATTATCAACATTACATAGTTCATAATTTTCTCTCCTTAGGAAAACAGAGGCGTGGAGGAAGGTAATTGATTTGAGAACTGCTTTAACTGTTGATTCTTCATTTTTATTAACTTTTATTAGCCTTTAAATACCTGGATGTATTTATTTTTAAATAAATAAAAATATTCCAATTCTGTAAATGAATAAATCTTACCCGCATTTTAATAAGTTATTTAGTCTCTTCTTAATTATTGAAATCAATTGTCTAATGAAGTATTTCTATGTAGTACAATTTTGATATTTGGCAATGGCTAATGGCATCATATTACCTGGTAGCTTTGCAAAATATTTTCACAATTCTTTAAATGTAAAATGCATTTATGAAACTATCCTTAACATGGCTTTGCAGGATATATAACTGTTGAAGGAATTAGTGATGCTCAACCTGCATTCAAAATTAAACATGCTTCTCTGTGTTTATAATGAGTGACATAGATTTGACATATTGTGATATAGTCCTTAATGGAGGGTCTGCTAAAAGTTCTTTGTGATGTTTGCAGATAAATAATGACATGGCAAATTTTATCTAGCTTATGGAATAGACTCCAGTGTATAGAATAGTCTCCCTGGAAGTATGTGTAACCCTACTTTTTGCAGTTCTGCAAACCAGTGGTGGTATTCAATTTTTTTTACTACCGGTTCTGTGGGCGTGGCTATTTTGTGGTTGTGGCCTAGAGGTCATGTGACTGTGTGGGTGTGGCTTATTTTGTGGGCGTAGCTTGGTGGTTATGTGACTGGCTGGGCGCGGCTTGGTGGTCATGTGACTGGCTGGGCATGGCTTTGCGGTCATGTGACTGGGCATGGCTTGGCAGTCATGTGACTGGCTGGGCATGGCTTGGCGGTCATGTGACTGGCTGGGCGGAATATTTCCTCTAAAAAGAAAAGTAAAAACTCAAGAAAGGCAGAAACTCAGTCCCCCCAACCTTTGCTAATGGGCCATTACTCTGGCCTGGGCCAATCTATTTTACATAACAAAGATCTACTCCAGGTAGAGCTATATTAGGAATTGCCCAAAGCCCTTTCATTACATCATCATCCAGCAAGGCTCAACCAAGCCTGGGACTCAGGACAACCTACAGAGTTGCCCCTGCATGGTCATTTGGATTGGCAGCAGACCCACAAAACTACACAACTGAAAACACACTCCCTACACAACTGAAAACCACACACACACACACACACACACACAAAACAGATACAGCTGGAAAAATCTAAAAATACAGCTTTAATTTATAGGCACATAACATTTCACACAATTTAAAAGAACTTCCATACACACACAATGACAACCTCACAAAAATCAGGGGACTGCAAACTTGACAGCTTTAAAACTTGTGGACTTCAACTCCCAGAATTCCTCCTCCAAGTTTGAAGACCCTTCTTTTAAATCAGGGGACTTCTGTTAGGAATATGCGCTCATTCTCCTAACGGGGAATTACCTAAGTCCACAAGACTTAAAACTTGATGAGTTTGAAGACCCCTGCCCTGATTTAAATAAGAAAAAAAGCCACTTACTTACCTAATTGAAAAAAGCAGGCAGGCATTGAGCTGGATGCAGCACAAGCAACACAGAAGGCGTCTGAAGGAGGTAAGTGCTGCTTGTTGGAGGCTGGAGGGGGAGGGAGGTGGATTAGTTTAACAAGGCTGGCTAGGCTGGAGCCTATGGGCATCAGCCTGGGCAGCAAGGACCTCCGAGGGCTTTTAGAAGCCCGTGAGGGGGGAGGGCGATCGCAGTGAAGCTCGGGACGAGGCTGGGGTGAGGGAAGGAGCTCCAGGTGACTTTGGCAATGCGGCACAAGCCATCACGACGCCTTGGCCAGCTACATGAGGCCCCGGGCTGGAGGCCATGGCCTCCGGAGGCCCAGGGCAAGGCCAGGCAGCGGCAAGGAGGTCCACGGGCTTTTGGAAGCCCGGGGGCGGGTGGCCGCAAGGGTAGCTGCCAGCCTACAAGGGACCCGTGGCGGCTTGGGTTATGCCAGGCTGCGGATTGAGGCCACAGCCGGCAAGGAGCTCCATGGGCTTTTGGAAGCCCGGCGGCAGGGGCGGGTGGCCGCAAGGGTAGTGGCCGGCCCACAAGGGACCCGCGGCAGTTTGGGGAGCTATGCCAGGCCACGGATTGAGGCCGCGGCTGGCGGAGGATGCTGGAAGCTCAGGGCAAGGCTTGCCGGCGGGAAGGAACCCCAGGGTTCGGGCTGGGCACTGGGGGCTCAGTGTTCTATATATGTTTATTGTGTAATAATTTATATTGTATACATTGGAACTTCACAATTCATGCTGTGCCACAAAGACATTCAGTGTACAGTTCATTGCATGGATATATTGGATTGATAAATATGTGGACGTGTTATTGTTTCTTCTTTAGTAACTTTAAAACCATATGGAACATTCAATTGATTCACTTGGTTTTTTTTCTTCCTTTTTTAAAATAGTTTATTTCTTCCAAAATGGCTTGTTCCACAACTTGCTCAGGGGAAAATGGAGAACAGGCCACTTCACAGAATAACAGTGGTGATAATGAGAGGCAATGGCAGCAGGAACGCCTCAACAGAGAGGAAGCTTATTATCAATTCATTAATGCACTTAGTGATGAAGACTACAGGTTAATGAGGGATCGTAACCTACTTGGGACTCCAGGTGACTCTTAGTTTAAAATACTTTACATCTAATGTAATACTGAATTATCTGCAGTTTGATAATTAAAATTAATTCAAATAATACTTTAGCTTTTATGTTCAAATTGCACACAGAATTTACTGTATCATGTAACATGATAGATAAGTGATACCATTTGCTACTTATATGCCCTGAAACTTAGTGAGAAATACATTTAATTCTATTTATTTAAATTTTATTTCATTGATTATACTTTTACCAGGATTTTTAAAATACGTATTACAAATTATTTTCATTTAAACTTTTTTGGTTGATTTTGGATAAAGCTTACAGAAAGTAAGTACAAAGTAGAGCAAATACAGTTTCTTAAATCTCAGATAACAGCATTGCATAGAAGAAATACACAATAGTTTGAGGTCACTTACCTTTTTAGGCAAATGGCTTACAATTGCAAGGAAAAGTTATGAAAGATTTTGCAGTTTATGCATATTAAAAGTTTTTTTACCATTCTGATTTTCCATTTATTTCTTTAAAAAAATTCAATTGTAATAGTAGCTATTGTTTTGTCTGTTCGTGTGCATTCAGATAATAAAATTAACAGCATAAAACAAACTCTTCTAGGGGAAATAACAGCAGATGAGCTACAGCAACGTTTGCAAAGTGCAAAGGAAAATCAGTCATCCCAGTCTGAGCCAGAAAATAGAGAATGGGAAGGTAATACTACTGGATGTAAACTACTAACTTCCTTCCTTCTTCCCTCCCTCCCTCCTTTCTTTCTTGTTCTTTAATTAATATAATGCTGGGGAAAATGCAATTTATATGTATGCTTCAGAAAAAAAAATATTTATTAGAGTCATCAACCAACATGCTTTTCTGAAGCTAAGGAAAAAGATTATTTGTGGAGAATTGTAAAAAGAAATTAAGGAAAATAGGGTTGGAATTTGGAAAAAGTGCTTGTTGGAAAACGTTTGATACTTTATTTCTAGGGGGAAAGCTGCAAAATACCTATGCTGTTGCTTTAGTTAGCCCATTTGTTTATTCCCCCCCACCCACTTGTATTATTTTTATAAATAACTCGAGGCAAGAAACCTACATAATGCTCCTTCCTCCTTTTATTTTCACCCCTATAACAACCTTGTGAGATGAATTGGGCTGAGAGAAAGTGACTGGCCCAAGGTCACCCAGCTGGTCTTCATGACTAAGGCGGGGCTAGAACTCACAATCTTCTGGTTTCTATCTTGGTCCTTAACCACTAAACCGAACTAGATATCAGATATGGCTGGTGAATGTTTAGATGGAAGATGAAGACTAACAAGCATACCTTGTTAGAAGGGATAGATATTCTGTATTTTTTCAGAAGCATTAAGAATGCATAAATAAATTGTAATTGAAAAATCTAGGGATATTTCAGCTAATGGAAATATTTTACTTTTCTCTTTAACTATCCATCTTATTATGAACTTTGCTTATTATGGGATGGGATACCATTTTATATTCTTTCTTTGTATACATTGGACCAAGTTAAAAACTTTAGAGAGTTAATTGACATGAAATTTTACAAATAACTTACTAATTTTGAAATATTTTTATTCAAAACATTGATAATATAGAATATATAAATATATACCTATAATCTCTATCCTATTTGGGGTAATTGATATAGCTCATGTATTACACTATTGAAAGCAATTACTGGTTTTTGACATGAAAATGGAAGTTGTATTTAGCTCTCTGTGATGAAATAATATAGTATAGAAAAGGATAATATATTGGATTACACTTCATATTATTTCTGTAAGGAGCATGTATTCATATTATCAAGTGACACTCATACTTAATTGCCTTATCTAAATGAAATCAAACCAAAACTCCTAAAAATGTATTTCTTTAATTACTCACAGATTCAGAGGCGCTTGGGGAAAACATAACCAGCAACTCCTTGCTTGAGTGGCTGAACACATTTCATCATACAGGAAATTCCACACATAGTGGCCAGAGTGGAAACCAGAGTTGGAGAGCTGTAAGCCAGGCAAACCCAAGTAGTGGAGAATTCCGATTTAGTCTTGAAATAAATATAAACCACGAACAGAACAATGATACTGCTCCTGGGGAACAACTGAATGAGTTCTTACATGGCCATTCCAGTAGAATGCATATGGAAAATAGACCTGTAATTGCAAATAGCCCAGTAGCCAGCCGAACTAGGAGCAGGACATTAGCTAATTCTGTTGGCCGTGGATTTGTCTCATCAGGAATTGGAAACACTAGTGGTTTGCTGACTCAGAATGCTGAAGAAAATTCTCGATTCTTCTCTGGTAGACTTGGAGCTAGAAGTTCAGCAAGTTCAACACCTAACAGCCTTTTAGACGACAATGAACACAACATCATTAGGCAGAGGAGAACACAAAGAGTGACTCCAGTAAGATATCACAGAGGGAGAGCAAGAACTCGAAGAAATTCAAGGCAAAGGACGGAAGTTTTAAGATTAAGATCAACTTTTAGAGGCCAATTCCAGTCTCTATTGGAAAATGGGCAACCAGTCAATATACAACAAACGCATGCAGGAGCTAATAGGGCACACACAACCCAGCCTTCTCCAGAACAAACTGAGGAACAAGCATCGTCACTCGGTATAACTTTGGAAGAGGAAGAATCAGTAAGAGATGTAGCTGCATCTAGAAGGCATCCTAGTATTACATTAGATCTTCAGGTGAGGAGAATTCGTTCCAGAGAAAATAGAGATCGTGACAGTATTGCTTCTAGAACTCGTTCGAGAGTAGGCGCGGCAGACAACTTGGTGACTCTCGAAAGTGATAATGAAGGATTTATTCAGAATGTTTCACGATCTGAATATGCAGGAGTACGGACATACGTTAACACTATACGGATACCTCTTCATAGGGCATCAGATGCTGGACTTGGTGAGTCTTCATCAGTGGCTGTCAGATCAATTTTAAGGCAAATTATGACTGGATTTGGAGAGCTAAGCTCCTTAATGGATACAGAAACAGGTTCTGAAGCTGAGAGGAATAGTCAGCACTTGTCAGAAGTACAGCCCCCAGTGCCTAACTTAGAAACTTTAAATAATACTGATGTATTTAATGCAACTTTGCCTAGGGATAGATTAACTGAACAAGATAGCAGGCAGGGAGAAACAAATTCTATCCAACACCATCAAAATAATAATAACCCAAATAGCAGAGCTTCTTCATTTGTTGAAAATGGAACACTTCCCATCCTTCGCCTTGTACCTTATCTTTTATTAGAAGAAGATTCCAGTGACAACTTGAGAGGGTTGACCAAAGACCAGATTGATAATCTTTCTACCCGGAATTATGAGATTCCCCATTCAGAAGATGATGAAATAAGTAAGACGTGCAGCGTCTGCATTAATGAGTATGTTGTAGGAAACAAGCTAAGACAGTTACCGTGCATGCATGAATTCCATTTTCATTGTATTGATCGGTGGCTTTTTGAAAATTCCACTTGCCCAATTTGTCGGCAACCTGTAGTAACTTAATATTGCGGGCAGTAGAAAAATCCTCAAATCCAGAGGCCTCTTTTTTTTTTCTTTTAACTGACTTTGAATAATAAGAGAGGGTGTTTTAAATATGTTTAAAGTAGGAGAAAATCTGATGGTTTGCTAAAGGATCAACCTAACCTCCAAGTACAGATATAAGAGGTATAAGAGTAAATATTCAAATTACCTTAATGAAATTATATTTTTCTATATAATTTTGTTATGCATAGCACTTGTGTAATTCAGGAGCTTATGTTATTAATAACATACTTTTTATTGAGATTTCCATTTGTTTTCTGCAGTTATAAAGTAATGTTATTACTCTATTAATAATCCCCCTTTTAAGTTGCCAAAGAACGAAGATTGGAGCATCTGGCAAAAAGGTACTTGCTATTTGAAGTGCTTTTTATATACAGTGTATATTTTTATGGACTACACTGAACATTTGGCTTTATTTATTTGTTTTATATAAGTTTTGCATGCTTTTTATACAGTTTCTCACTGACACATTAAGGGTTAAATCTTAAGATCAATTGAAATTCAATTCACTCGACTGATTTGGGCAGTCCGTATTTTAGCATATACAGGCCTAAGGTTAGAGTGGATGATTGCTAATCCTTACTTGCCACTTCTCTGGTCATTTCAGAACATTCAGAAAGGAGTGTATATTTAATATGGCCACGCAGCACTTTGGATACAAAAGGAAAATGATGTTTTGGAATGTTGCAGGAATGTTCATGTGGCCCTTGGCAACTTCTTGAAAGTTTGGCCATACACCCATCTTCGTTCCAGATTAGCATAATCACAGTTTAGCCTTGGGAAAGAGGCTTTAGTTAAAAGAGTTGTCAAAAGATGACTGATACCCAAGCGCAGCACTGTGTTCCTTTCAAATCCAAAGCACTGCACACCCAACATATTTAATGCATTTGACACACATGAAGACAGACTAATTTTAAAAGAATTTTAATTTGTACATGAACAAGGGCAACAATCATACTTCCTTAACACCATGCATGGTTCCTTTTTATAAGCAACATTATCAGTTTGCTGTGAACAAAAAGCATGTAATTATTATATTAAAATGGAGAATTTCCAGAGGATTTTGTTAAGAGAGAATGTACTGTAAGATATCAGAAACATCTGTATTCTTGGGTTGAAAGCATATTATATCAATACCTGATAAATAAAACTACAAAAATGGAAAAGTTGTGAATCATTTATGTCATCTAAAATACGAGTGACATCATTGAGGTATTGCTTGTTCCTTTCTTGCAGCTAGTTGAACCTGTTGAGCTTGGTTTGTAGTAAATAGCTTAAAGACAAGTATATATCAATTAATTTTAGAATATCTTGTATGTTGTTTCCCCATAGAATGGGGTGAACAGTCTAGGGAGCCACAGCATTTCCTGAAATAATTTTTCTCTTGCAGTAGTACATATGGTATCTTTTTGATCACAGTAAACATGGACAAGCAGTCCACTCCAGATGTTAAAATGATAAAATGCAATAGCACTTAAACGTACATATTACTTTGTCGGGCTTTACACTATGGGTAGATCACAGGTGGTCTTTCCTTTTTCCCTCCTTTCTTATATCCAACAAAAATATTGTTCAGTGGATCTCCTTTTATTGTTTCCTCAATTAAAAAAACCCTAAACAAATGTTTCCTGTTCTTTATCTATATTGGCCTCTAGCATCAGCAAACAACAGGATATTAAACCTGAATACAAAGTAGAACACAGAAAACTGTATTTGGTAGGTAGTCCTTGAATTAGAACCAAAACTGAGCCTGGAATTTTGTTGTAAGTCATTAAGGTTGTTGAACATGTAACCTGACTCAATTTTACAATAGTTTTTGCAATGTTATTAAGCAAGTCATTGGTGGTTAAGCAAATCACATGGTTGTTTAATGTTGCTGTTAAGTGAATCCAGCATATCCAATGGGCATTTTTGTTATTCTCTAATGCAAAACATTAAAAAAGTTGCAAATTGCAGTCACACAATCATGATTGCCAAGTGATCACGGGATGTGTATGTGTGGTAGTCATGTCAATGAGTAGCTTTTAGCTATTGGTCATTAAGCAAGGAGTACCTGTAGGTGTGATGTATGTGTGTATCTGTGTGATCACATTATCTGAAACAAAAAGGAATCTAAAGTAGAATTCCTTTCATGAAAAGGAATTCACAACCTATTATTTAGGTCCCCCCCCCCCCCCCGGTGCACTCATTACCACCGTAACAGATCCCAATGATCTTGCGGCTGGTTGCCCTCTTTTTCTTTCCAGCTTTCCAGCATTAGAGCCTTTTCCAAATAGCTGAGCCTTCATATAATGTGCCCAAAGTAGGTTAATTTAAATCTCAAGTGAAAATTCTGGTTTGACTTGTTCAGTGATCCATCAGTTTGTTTTCTTGGCTGCCCATGGCATTTGCAGGAGACTTCTAAAATTCACAGGTGTCAGTATCCTTCCTGTTCTGCTTTTTTAAAGTCCAACTCTAGCTGTCAAAGGAAATATCATAGTTTGTCCAGTTCCGATCTTTATAGGTATAGAATTATTCCAGCATATGAGCATCTTTTCCAAGGTCTTCGTGGTTGCTAATCTGCAGCTTGTTTACAAAAATCAGAACCAGAATTTAATTCCTCTCTTTCTCACAGCATTGTATATGTCAATGTTAAAAGGCTTTTTTTTTTTGGAGGAAGGGGAAATTTGATACACATGTGCAAGATTTAAAGCATCTAAACAATTAAAAAAAAATCTTAAGTAACTAACTTCTTAGAGCATCTGCAAATGGTGCACATGGTTTTAGAGACCCCTGTAAGAGTTAGAATAGGAGGGGGCTAGGGAAGAAGAGTTCTTCCATAGTTTACCCAAGATGGTGAAAGGTGTGACCAGCTAAGCAGAGGCCTAAGAATTCAAGGACAAAGAATGGAAGAGGTTCAGCGGTCATCTTCAGTGGATTGGGAAGGCAGATGCTTTTTTGGAAAAGAACCAAATCAATGCCAGAACAGAAAAATCCCTAACAAAGCAATCCTACTAAAAAAAAAAGGTGCTTCAGAGGCTAGCTGGGTTTTTCATAGAAGATTGAATTATTGAACAGAGAGCAGTGTCTTTCTTCCCCGTTTTTGACTAGTCCAAGGCTTTTCTTCCTTGGAAATACAAGCTAGTTAGAGGGAATAGCTTTATTATAGAATTACAAAAAGCCTGCAGTTAAGCATCTGGGGGAGAAGGGTAGATGCATTTGACACGTAAGAAACTAAGGAATGTTTAGACAGGTGTGATAAATACGCTGGATTTTTTTTGTTAAGTTTCAATATTCACATGTGCACACTGTACTCAGAAGAGGAACAAGACAGTCTATACTATATATACACAAGCTCTTTCTGTTCATTATTGTAATCCTTCGTAAACAGTAATAAATGTCAACTGTGATGAACATCACATCCTGTGTATATCTGGACTGGTTTCTTGTCCTTACACATCCTCGGGGGATAGATGAAAATCCTATCCCCATCAACTCATCCACCAAATCTGTATGTTTTTCACAAACATGTTTTTTCCCCTCTTCTGATTTTTTTTAAAATACTGGTTATACAAATTTTGTATACTGAGTATGCAAATGCTTTACAATTCTTACTGGAATTGTTACAAATTTGATCATCTTAATGACTTGAAAATGACTTGTTTTTGTTTATCCTTTACAAACAGGAGCCTTTGTTGCTGCAATTACTGTATAAACTGGTAAAGTATGCTATGAGTAGTGGGAATATATGAATATTAGCAAAGAACATTGCTTTTCAATTGTTACAGTTTAAATTTAGATAAAATAGGTTTTGAAATAGAGTAAGCTAAGACAGGTTTCAACAGAAATCTTATATAAATTGAACTTTAGGGCACCGATAAAATATTTTGGGGAGGGAATGTAGTTGCTGCCAATATAATGTATGTATTCCTTTATTTGTCTTAAAGCATGTTTATTGCATACTTCTGATAAAACTCTAAAAGCAGCTGAAAGTTCAAGTTTAAAAAACACTGTCCTTTGGATGCCTCAGATTATCTAAAGGCATGGCACTAAAACATCAAAAGGTATATAAGGCAGATTGGAAGAAAGAAAATGTAGGCACAAATGTTTACAGTTCCAATTCTTCTAAAGACTAGATGTGATAGAAAGAGCTCAGGATTCTTGATGGAATGACTAGGGACAACGGAATGACTATCCAGTAATAAGAAAAAAGCTGAGCCAGTTTGATAGAACAGTTTTACTTCCCTTCCTTCTCTTTATTGCAGGCTATGGATTAGCTATTGTTGTTTCCAGGGCTGTTTGTCAACTCCTCTTTATTTGAGGAAAGAGTATGCTAGACACATTATAAATAATATATAATATTGAGATAGGGTGATAATCATTTCATAATAGAGTTAATAATCTACAATTACGGACTTTGAACAGATCATTATTTCAAACACATCATTACTTCAGTGAAAGAACAGTAGGCTCATTAGAAGGATAAACAACTTCAAGATACTATAGCTACCATAGTATTTAAAATAAGGAGCTACTAAATCACGTTTCCTTTGTTCCATTTCTAAATCAAAGACCTTCACTGCATAGTTCATCTTGAAGGATTAATTCTGTTTTTTTGTTTTTTTTGTGGTTTTACAAATGCATAGCTTTTAGGGACTACAGCTTTTTTTATCATACTTGCAGAAAATTTTGGGATTTAAATCCCATCATCTGAAGGGTGATGAGGAAAGCAATGTTAGCATATGTCAATAGCCATAAAACTGTTAAAAGAATATTAAAAAGTGGATGAGAAAGGTCATAGAATTGCCAATTTGCTGCACCCAATATACTACTAGATCAGTTGAAAGATTTCCTTCAATGCCAAAGAATTTCACATTCATGGCATATTTCTATGATTTCTAGTAGTATTACAGAGCTTTCTCCTAATACTTTTAAAAATTTCAGTTAAAGACCAAATCTTGCATGTTGTAGCACTTTGTCCGAGATATTACATCAAAACGTCTTAATCGGGTACCAAAACAGCTTATTGCATTTTCTCTCTTTCTTAGGCAATTGTCTCTTCCTCTTTGCCAGTGGGGAATAGTCAGTCTTGGAAAGTTGTAAAAAAACAGACTTGGGACCGAAGACTCATTGATTTTAAGCCCAGTCTGGCCCTCCACCATGATTCCAATACCTTTATTATTTAAACCTGTTTCAGAATTGTTCTTCATTTATTCCATGAGATTAACTACTACTGGAAGAACTTGCTTTCTTCTGACCATAAACAAAAAAATCTGAGGAGGTGAAAACTGTGATCTTCCAACTTCTCTCCTGTTGGTTTGCAGCAAGCAAAGCTTTAGGACATTGAGAATTCTTAACAAGACCATTGGATTGTTCTGCCTACCACCACATTGCTTAAAATGCTTTTCTTTTAAAGTACTCTCACAGTTTACAAATGGAAAGCAGTAGAGCAAACATTACTGAAAATCAAGCCCTGAAAATCTGAGTTTTCCACCAGACATGTTTCTAAGATTTATTGTGTTTAGCCCTCATAAAAATTACGATTGTTGATTGCCTATACATTTTTTATATTTGGGAAAAATAAAAAGCATGTGATTATCACTTTAAAAAAAATAAGTAGCACATACTGGATCCAACTCCACAACATATGGATTCTTTAGAATTTGGATTCTTTTATAAAATTCATTGGACATTAACATTAATCAGTGGCAAGATTAACATATTTGTCACATAGAGGGGATCATTTTTTTAAACAATCGTCCCTCCTCTGTAACTATTGCACTGTTGCACCAACTACCAAACAGTTAATCAGTGCAACCACAGAGTAAGCTGACTCCTCACCCACTACTGGTCTCTTCGTTATCTTCAGCAGCACTTAGTGCATGCCCCCTTGGTATGCTACTAATGGTAGTAAGTGTACCCCCCAAAAAGCCATCATCAGGGGTGGAGGGTAACCAAGGGATCAAATGATTGTGTGTAGCATGACAATATCAGGCAAATGACACAAGTAATTTATGCATCATTATGGTTTCTATCAGATACCTATGTCTATCTTCATAAAAATTATTAACAAACGAATCCTTGAGATGTGTTATTGTGAAAATAGGTTCTCATGTTTTCAGAAGTAAATAATCTAATACTCCACCAGCTTGTTACGGTAGTAAGACTAAAAACAAAACAATCACTTATATTGCTTTATATAGAACAGGTTGGAGAAAGAAACATAAGAAAGCTGAATATGGATTGTATAAACAGAACTTGCATAGCTGCTGGAAATCTCTTATGGTATTTCTCAACTTTTCTACAAGTGATAGATTTTACTTAGAAGTTTTTAAATTCCTGTGTGGCTATTAGCTTACAGTTCTGGAGATACCTGACAAATGTTCTACTTCTAATATCAATATACTGCCTCTATTTCCTACCAGGAGACTGTTTTTTAAAAAAATCTTCTGCCTTTTTTTTTTTTTTGACTTACATGTTTTCTGTGTTTTGCATAACCTTACTTAGCATAAAAAGAAATAGTGTGATGGGTTGTATGTATGTACACATGCATTAAAAAATGGCCTCTTGGCAGAGATGGGAAAATTGACAAGTCTAATGAGAGAGAAATCTACAGATGCTTTTATTAAAGACTGGAGTCTGTTTATGGTTCATGTTACAACAGTAGAGAAAAATAGCTTCATGATAAAGGGTTTTATAGATTAAATAAGGGAAGATAATGATGAACAAGTAGAGATTACAGTGGGATAAAAGAATTAGATGGTTAATGAATTTCTGAGGAAAGAGGGTGAAGTGGACTTTATGTTTTGTAAGTTATATGTTTAGTTTTATATTTTCAGGCTTATGTTTTTGTATTGTGTTCAATGTTTATTTCATGTATATAATTTTAATAAAGTTTTACAAAATGGTCTCTAAATAATTTGTATTTAAGGCTTCTTTCATGGTTTTTTATGTAAGAATCCTATAGATTTAGTTTTTCATGTTATTCAGATCTGCAATATGTTAACAATAACTTTAAATTCATTGAACATTACAGAAAGAAATAAAAGATTAGATGAATTTTCTACTGCATGTCTGAAATCATTATGGCCATTTTAAGATATAATATCTGCAGAGCAATCTACATAAATGCCTTATTTTTAGGGAGATCTTAGTGGGCAGGAGAGCTATTAAAAGTGAAGGAATAAACATAAAGAAATGTAAAGTATTAGAATACTTGTTCAATTTGTATAATTGCTGTATAAATTCTATTTGGCAAGCAATTGTTTCACTTTGGTTAATTTTATTATGTCTTATGCAATCTTCACTGTACTGTAATTGCCTGTTTGGTTAAATAAGGAATCTAATTTGTGTCATTAACAGAGTAACAGTTGGAAGGGATCTTGGAGGTTTTCTAGTCCACCCCCCTCCTCAGGAAACCTGCTTGAAGCTTAATTAAAAGAACATTTTCTCAGTTCTAACTGAAACGAATCAGAAAACCCACTTAATGTTCTGGTGGAAAAGTGCATACATATACACATATTAGTCATAACACCCTAATAGAAAATTAGTAATTTTCTTGACTGTAAATTGCATGAAATCAGTAAAAAATGTATTAGTTCCCAGACCAGTCTTGCAAGATCAGTTTAGAAATCAATTTTTACCCCGAAAATATGTTCTCCCGTACACATTTATTTCATTTCTCTATGCCAAAGCTTGTGGCTCAGCGTCTTACACAACTCTGCCTCTCTGAGGTTTACTAGTTATGTATTCTTGAAACCCTTTACATTACTATACCTACATGATGGTGATTGATCATATAAATGCATTTATTACATTTATCAATTTTTAGTGCAAAGAACTGAGTTATGGACTTAAAATGTAAACATTTTAGAGCATGGTTGGAGGAGGAAGACAATTTAGAGGAAGTAGAAGGCCATAAAAAGTTTCCAAATACCATGATGCTCATCTCTATGGAAATTCATCTTTTCCATCCCCAAGTGTAGTGATGCAAGTATGAAAATTTGAATAGGAAATTAGAGTGTAGATACATTACGGGATGCTTTATTTGCTTTATTTATTGATAATTAATTCATCTGTATTGAATTTGGCCTCTGCTGTAGGACCAGTGGAAATGGATATTAATTTTAAATGAAAGAAAAATCCATCTCCATTGGTCCTAGAGTACAGGCCTGATCACCCTTTCCTGTTCTGCAATAAAGTAAATAACAATGTGCATAAATTTGTGCATAGAAGGCTTGCTTAAATTGCATCTGGTTTTCTTAAACAGTGTGTGCAAGGTAATGGGACAGTGACCCCTTTGCAGGTTTTTGGGAAACTTGGCAAGCACCTACTCTTGAATTTACTATTCCTATTTGGCTCTTGGGCTGCACATGTCCCACTACATATGTGGTAGTAGTGCAGTCTTCCAGCAGAAAAGACAAATACATTTCTAGGTACACAGCCAAAAACTGAGCTGAGTAAGTGCTGTTCTCGATTTTGCATGAACGGGTTGGGTCTGCTTGAATAGGAACACAATGAGTTCCTGCTGCCTTATTACAGGTAATGAGAAGCTTCATGTGATGCAGCTAATGAAGGGAATCGGTGCCCTTTCCTCTCCCGTAAACCACGCAACCCATGTTGCTCTCTTCTCCGTTCCTCCCTGCGTTCCCTAGGATGAAGAGGGGGTGACCCTGGGTTTTCCTCTGAATTCCCCTCTCTCTTGTTCTACCTCTCCCCTGCTCTGCCCAGATGGACCTTGCCCTTCCTCAGTTTTCTTCAATGGAGCCACACTCCCACTCCCTGTCAACTGTTCGGCTTCCTCCTCGGATTCAGACTCCAACGGGCATGACATTTCCTCAAAAAACAGTCCATGGGCCAACAAAAATATTCTTTTTTATTTATTTATTCAAAACAGTTTTCCAACGAGGTTAACTTACACCTGCTGCCTCTGTGCATCTTGAAGGCACCTCTGCATGAGGCCCATCAAATGACTGCACCATTTACCGCACACTTGCTTTTGGTGTCTGCTATCCCACCACCTCTCCACACCAGCCACAGATCTGTCCTCCTCTGAGGGTCACTCTGTGGGGATGGTGATTAATATTCCTAAAACGCAAAAGCAATTTATCAGATTAGCAGAGTTGGAAGGGACCTTGCAGGTCATCTAACCCAACCCCCTGCCCAAGCAGGGAGACCCTGTCTACACCCCTTCTGACAGATGGCAGTCCAGGCTCTTCTGGAAAGCCTCCAGGGATGAAACTCCCAACAACTTCTGAAATGATTTTTCCCTGCACAAGGACGACGACGACCGGTGTCCGAATCCAATCCATTTCCCCCAATGGCAGACTGAACAGAAAGGAATCAAATGCAGCCCTCATGGGCATCCTATGAACCTAAAGGCGCCCTCAAAGTGTCTCTCAAAGGGCTAGAAAAAACCTTTTTCCCTGAAAAAGAGCATGAAGGGGCCATGAAGCCCTTGCCAGTCCCTGGCATTGAAAGCCCCGAGACCAACATGTGCAACAACCTCCCATGGGGAAAGGACAAACCATGGTGACAATATCTGCCCATTTACTTCTCCTGCCAGGCAATTCTAGAAACCTTCCTGGTTCTTCTCCGACCGCCACTTCCAGGCCACGTTGGGTGTTGCAAGCCGTCGCCTCTGGATGGGGAAAGGGGCTGCCTTTACAACACGGCCTGGCCAGTTCGCCGGATGATGGGAACCGGCGGGAACAGGGGTCGGTCTAGGACTGCCAAAGCGAGCGCTTAGCCCAGCCTACAGGACAAGATGCGCCAGGTGCGGAGCCAAGCTCCCCTCCTCTCAGCAGGGCCTACCGACTCCGGGGCGCGCTGCGTTCTGCGGCAAAAATCCCCGGAGTTTAGCAGCTGAAGAATCGAAGCACTTCAGCACGGGGGCCTCCCCCCCTCCCCGTCCCCCACACACACACTCCTCCTTCCCCGAGCTGCTCGGCTCCTGCCGCAACGAGCCGGGCAGCCCGAGACGCCGAGCCGCAGTGGCGACGGCGACTCGCCGCTTCGGCGCCGTCAGCGGGAGGGTTTGCGCGGGAGCGGGCCGGCGAGGAGGAGAGCAGATGGCGAGGTTACCGCTCCCTCCGCCGCCGGCCAGCCCTTAAAGCAGGCGCCGGGCGGAGAGCAGCCTCGCAGCATGGCGACTCCCCGCCGTCTCGACAAGGCGCTGAAGATGCACAGGAAGACCAAGATCCATTCGGCGGCTGGTGGGTGTGCGCGCGCGCGTCTGGTGAAAGAGGCTGGGAGGGGGAAGAGGGAAGCTGCATCCCCACCGAACTGTAATCCTACTCCGCGCGCAGCAGCAGACCCCTGCCGCTTCCCCCCCTCCCGTCCCCTCGAGTGCGCGTCTTCTTCCTTGAGAGTCATGTTGGGATTTAATGGCAACGCTGCGTTTCCCCCCTCCCCCCCCCCCACGCTTCGCTCATCTGGTCAATTCGCGTCAGGGTGTGTGTTTGTGTGAGTGAGTGTGCGCGCCCGTTGTCTCGCCTCCCATTTTCTGCGCTCCGCGGAAAGGAGCGGGAACACATAACGAAGGGCTGTCTTGTCGCCAGCCTCCCGGGATCTGATCGGTTTCCAGCTTCTCCTTTTAACGCTCTCGTTGGAGCAAGAGAAGATTTGGGGTTTCTCTGGGCCGAGGCTGGTTTAGCTTTTGGAATTGCTCGGAAGATGGGAAGCTCTGCGTGTGGTGTGTGTGTGTGTGTGTGTGTGTGTGTGTGTTTGCGCTATGTGTTTCACAGCCCCATGAGTTTAATGGGATTTATTTCTAGATATAGTTGTGCGGGATTGGTGTCTTAAAAATAGCTTTGTCCTCTCAGTGCCCGCAGGCTTGAAATGGTGGTAGAGCATCCAAGCGAGAATGATTCTCTTTCAAACCTCACAGCTAGGAGCCCGGTACTGTAATCTCCCTCAATTCTCCTTTTTGCATATAGATCAAATGAAAGCAGAACCAGCCTTTTATATTAAGGACAAGGATGATGTATCGACCAATCCACACTTTCTTCAGCAACCTATCAAAGAACAACCTATCAAATGTGTGTGCACATAAATTTGAGATGAAGATCCATTTGGCCAAATGAGAGTTGCTCTTAAGGACAGTAAGCACATAAAGAAGAAACCTACACACACTAGACTTGAGATAGCTAAATCAAGCTTTCTGTATGAATCCCTTTTAAAGCTTGGTTCCTGGACAGAGCTCAATTCTAAGAGAATTTTTTCCACAACTCTCCCCAGCACCAACTTCTCCTGTTTAGAAATTAGACATAGAAAAAGTTTGCATAAATAGCTGCCTTCTGGACTACATTGTACATTACTAGTCAATTTGTTGGAAATTGAACTTCTAGTCATCTGAATAAAAAAATAAGTCTTGGGCGGCTAAGATCTGAGTTAGGTATACATTTCAGTAGTTCTGTTCAGCGTTATGTGTATAATATCTGGGTGTAAGACAAGATTCAATAAAGAAGCTGTTTCCTACATTGGATTTACAAAAGAGGCTTGTTAAAGGTTTGAAGAATTTTCTGAGGACAAATAAAAAATATAAAGGAATTCAGAAGAATATTATTTGAAGGGCCTTAAAAGATCAAGATTGCTAAAAGTAAAAGGGAGGAATATGAAGTTGATTTATTTGATCAAGGTTAAAATAGATAAGTTGTTATCTCTGATAATTCTTAATGGACTTTTGCTAATCAGGTCTGAAATGAGGAGGCTTTAAGGATTGGTTTATATTTAAGAAAAGTTACTAAAGTTGTTTGTTTCACTAATGAAGAGGGAGACATTTCTTTATATATTTCTTTGCCATAGTTCTTTTTTTTCTTTTTTCATGCACCTTCTTTATTTTAGGTTATATTAGTTTTTTATCATTGAATTATGCCTTTTGATAAGATTACTATTTAAAAAAAGAAACTATTCATAAAACAGTAATATAACATGCTCTAAATGACTCAGAAAAGAACAGTGAATAAATCTGATGTATTTTTGCTTTATCTGGGGGAGTTTCCTTATGGTATAATGCTATCTGGTAAAGGCATCTGCTCTCTAAAATCACTTCTGTGCAATCATATGAGAAAATAAAAATATGAGCCAATATAGTACTGAAAGTTTGTATCTGTAATAATTTGAAATCAACATTCTTTACATAGTGAGTGACTGAAATTTCGCCTCTACTTTTGAAACTTAATTATATTCATAGGACTAGATAATTTAAATGCTCTTGACATACCAGTTACAGTGTTTTGAAGAAATACTACATCTTGTTTTCCATCTGAAAATATATAGCCACCCATCTCACATAAATGCATCTTTAATGTATTTTATATATAAAATACATTTAAAAACTTTAAGTTCTTTAATTAAGTTCTTTTATACAATTGAGTGATGTATTCACCTTGTTTCTACTTAAATGGTTTTTAACTAGATTAAGTTTCCAATATTTAAACTGTATTATTGTTATTCCTTGTATTTAGATCTTATCTAAATCATATTCCTAATCATATTCTACTGGTAAAATGATATCTCATAACAGAATGTTTTTCTCCCCTCATACCCTCTCCACTTGAAACAGATACATATCCGATTAATATGTTTGTTTATTCAGAAAATGTATGAAATCAGAAGTTGGAATCAGGATTCTAGCTTTCTTAGTGGTTAAAGTCAATAGCTTTGAATTAAACCAATCCATTTTGTTGTTTTTCATGATCATTTCATGAAATAGGAAATGATCCCATTCTATATATGTTTGAGGTCCATGAGGGAGGTCAGTGGCACTTGAGAGAACTGGATCTGTGCACGGAGGACTGCAAGCACTAATGGGAGAATAGATATAATCCAGTCAGGATAGCAGATCAGAAAGATAAACTGTCAAGTGTAGAGTCTAAACTCTAAAGGACTATTAGAATCAGGACCATGGACAGCTCCAATTGAGTTTATTCATTTATTTTGCTGTTGGTACTTCTTTAGAGCCTGGTCAGAACTGATTCGCAATAAAACCTGGTTAGTGAAGCAACTCTTGGAAGTATCTGGCCCTTCCTCTATTTTAAAGAGTGAAGTAAGGGAGTTCCAACTTCCTTGACCTAATGAGAAGCACCAAAGGAGGCTCCCCTCCTTCTAGATATTTAGCACTGGATTTGCAAATTTGTAAATGAATACATTGAGCAACAAACAGCAATATGAAATTGCTTCAGGGATGTGAATAGCATGATTTCCAGGGGTGTGAAATTTTCAGAATGTCTCATTGACTTCTTTGCTAGTCTTAATTTTTTCTCTTCATTGCAATTTGAATTTATACTTTAGCACCCCCTTTCTTAGGAATTCCCACCCAGTTCAAACACTATTTCCCAATTAGCTTTTTCAATCATGAAATCATAGTGTTGTTGCTTGGAATTGAAGTAAAAGATGTTTCCCTTAAAATGAAGGATTCCAGGATTACTCCAGGAACCTCAGTGGTGCAGTGGTTAGAGTGCAATACTGCAGGCTACTTCTGTTGCAGCCAGCTGCCTGTAATTCGGCAGATCAAATCCCACCAGGCTCAAGGTTGACTCAGCCTTCCATCCTTCTGAGGTGGGTAAAATGAGGACCCAGATTGTTGGGGGCAATATGCTGACTCTGTAAACCGCTTAAAGAGGTCTGTAAAGCACTGTGAAGAGGTATATAAGTCTAAGTGCTATTGCTATTACATGGTCGCTTTCCCACAATATTTCTGCTATTTCTCTTTCCTCAATTAAGTATTTTGTATTAGTATCAAATCCACTTTATGGCTCTAATTTAAAAGATAAATTAATTAAACAATAGAAGCCAGAATTTTAGAGATTTCAGGAAATCTTGGGTATAGTTTCACATGTAGTGTTAACTATTGTTGGTTGAATTGGCTAGTTTGCACAATTTGGAGACTTCAATAAGGAGACATTTTAGATTTGCAGAGATTTGTATCACTATGAATAATACAAATATCTGCAAGCCTGGGGTGTCTTCTTGAATTTTCCAGAATTTTTATCACTCTAATTTTATTATTGCAAAAGGTTAAAAGTATTAGATACACTACTGGAGGATAATTGATTTCACTTAAGTCTCAATGTAAACAAAATCTAATTTAGTTTTTGTTTTGACTCCAACCACTACAATTGTTAAAGGCCTGTTGTGGCTGTCAGCCCAGAAAAATATGCACAGATATGTCATAAGTCACACTTACAACCAAAATGTTTGGATTTATATAACACTTACATTGTGACTAAATGTTTGGCTTAAAATTATATAGTTGGAAAGGATCTTGAAGGTTTTATTGTTCAGACATATTTGATGAATGATCCAATGATTTAATAATTTAATAATTTAAATAATTAAAAAAATAAATTCAGTGAAGGAGAGTGCTCTACTGGTATATAGCTCTAGGAAATTTCTACAAAAGTTGCTTGAAACCCGTTTCTCCGGTTTCCATTATTAATTCTATTCCTGCAGTTAAACAACAGAGAATATACTTGTTTTGACTGCTGCATGATAGCACTTTCAATATTTGAAGAGAGATTAAGTCATGTCTCTTTCCTTAATTGTTTCTTTACTTAGACAATCATGTACAGCTCTTTGAAAAGTTATTATAATTTCCTTCAGATTTCTTACAATCATTTCTCCCATTGTCATGTATAGTATGTTCAATTTAAACCTCCTTAAAATGTGATATGTAATTGCTATGGTACTAGCATGTGGCAGAAATAAATAAATTTGCTTATGCTTTGGTGAACATAATACCTCGTGACTCAAACAACCCTAAAACCTGTTTGGGGAATGACAATATCAAATTTTGCATCTCCGAATTTATATCCAAATGATAAGTAAGGGGCTTTTAATTGATTTATATTTAAATTATTCTCTAAAATGCTTATATCTCTTCCCTTTTATACCCAGACAGCAAAAACATCCATCCTGTTTTTTTTCTGCTTCTTTTAAGTTTACTAAAAATAATCCACCATCAATATCACACTTAATGTTACAAAGTGCATTTTTCAAAAAGATCACTCATGGCTTGCAAAAATCTAGAGGTCAAGCATTAGCACCATTAATATTGATTAATAAAAGTGCTGCTGAAATCTCTGTGATCTCCAATAAAAGTCAGAATATCCTTGCACCAAAGCAGTAATTAAAGTATCTGTTTTCCAGGTTGCAAAATGGAAATATAAATATTAGATTCAGTGATGCAGAACTGTAATTTTTATGCTTATAG